ATGCAGTAGTATGACCACAGCTTACCACAGCCTCAAACTTCTGGGCTCATGAAAGCCCTCTGCCTCTGCCTCCCAAGTAGCTGGAACTACAGGCATGCACCACCATGCCCAGCTCACTTTTTAATTTTATTTTTATTATTATTATTATTTTTAAATTTTTATTTATTTTTATTTATTTTTTGAGTTGGAGTCTCACTCTGTTGCCCAGACTGGAGTGCAGTGGCTGCTCCCAGCCACTGCAGCCTCGACCTGCTGGGCTCCGGTGATCCTTCCGCCTCAGCCTTCCAAGTAGCTGGTACTACAGGCGTCCGCTACCACTCCCAGCTAACTTTTTCTATTTATTGTAGAGATGAGGTCTCGCCAAGTTGCCCAAGTGGGTCTCGAACCCGCGGGCTCAGGCAGTTCACTCACCTCAGCCTCCCAAAGCAACGGGATTACAGGCTGAGCCACCAAGCCTGGCCCTTTTTTATTTTTTGTAGAGACGAGGTCTCACCAGGTTGCCTAGGCAGGACCATGCTTAATTATAATGATGTTATCCTCTTCAGGTATTTTGTATCTTTTTTTTTTTTTTTTTGAGTCAGAGTCTCACTCTGTTGTCCAGGCTAGAGTACAGTGGCACACTCACAGCTAACGTAGTCTCAAACTGCTGGGCTCAGATGATCCTTCCACCTCAGCCTTCCAAGTAGCTGGAACCACAGGCGTATGCCACCATGCCACTGCAACCTCGACCTGCTGGGCTCCGGCGATCCTTCCGCCTCAGCCTTCCAAGTAGCTGGAACTACAGGCGCGCGCTACCACACCCGGCTAATTTTTTGATTTTTTGTAAAGATGAGGTCTCGCTGCCCAGGCGGGTCTCAAACCCGCGGGCTCAGGCAATCCACTCACCTCAGCCTCCCAAAGGCATGGGATTACAGGCTGAGCCACCGAGTCCAGCTTGCTGGATGGCTTTAAAAAGCTGTTCTCTCTCCTCTGTAACCTGAGGCTCATGTGCTGACACCTGAGGTCTGTTACTAGAGAGTGGAAGTCAGTACTTAAATCAAGCTTCAATCTCTGGGCCTTCACCTAAATAAGCGTGATGTGCAGTAATGGCAAAACCCAGAGTCAGCTCAGGAGATGGAATTACACACCAAATACAAACTCTCTGAAGAGGTACTACAAGAGAACATATCACTGCTTCTCATTCTACTTTTAGATATCTATCAATATCTCACAAATTGCACTTGATGATCTACACAAACAGACTCATGAACAGAAGGTGGACAGAGTTCCCGAGTACACCTGATCTTAATAGCAGAAATGGAAGAGGGGGCTCAGGCTCTGGAGCCAGACAGCTGAGTTTAAATCCTGATGTGATCCCTTACAAGCTTTGTAATCTTTATTTAAACTCTGTGCCTCATAGTCTGCACCTGTCAAATGAAGACCCTCCTGACTGTAATGGAAGGGCAAAATGAGATAACAAATATGAAGAGCTTAGAACAACCAGGTATGGCAAACAGTAAGTGTTCAATAAATGTTACCATTGTTATCATTAAAATATCATGTAGGGAAAGAACCAGGTGCTGTGGCTCATGCCTGTAATCCCAGCACTTTAGGAGGTGAGAGGCAAGAAGATTGCCTGAGTCAGGGGTTCGAGACCAGCCTGAGCAATATGGCAAGACCTCATCTCTACAATAAATCATAAAATTAGAGGGTGTGATGATACATGCCTGTAATTCCAGCTATTTGGAAGGCTGAGGCAGAAGGATCGCATGAGCCAAGCAAGTCGAGGCTGTGGTGGCTGTGAGTGTGCCACTGAACTCCAGCCTGGGTGACAGAGTGACACTCTGACTCAAAAAATAAATCAATATCATGTTGGGAAAGAAAAAGAAATATGCTACATTTATTCTGTATACTATATATATATATATTATTTTAAAGATGTGGGGTACAATTCAGGATTAGGTATACAAGGGGCCCCCACTTTGGTCCCCACTTTGCCTGGTTTGAGATCAGGAACCCTTATTGATATTGTGTCCTGTTTTCCTTTCCACCCCCCAACTTCAGTAGTATCCCGCTACTGCCGATTCCCTTCTTACAGTATTATGGTAAATGTTGAGGGTACACTTATGAGTTAGAACATATTATATACAATATTTATTTATTTATTTGTTTTTTATTTATTTATTATTATTTTTTTTTAGTTGGAGTCTCACTCTGTCGCCCAGACTGGAGTGCAGTGGCCGCTCCCGGCCACCGCAGCTTCGACCTGCTGGGCTCCGGCGATCCTTCCACCTCAGCCTTCCAAGTAGTCAGAATTACAGGCGCGCGCTACCACGCCCGGCTAATTTTTTTTTTTATTTTATTGTAGAGATGAGGTCTCGCCTGCCCAGGCGGGTCTCGAACCCGCGGGCTCAGGCAATCCACTCACCTCAGCCTCCCAAAGGCGTGGGATTACAGGCTGAGCCACCGAGCCCGGCTTATATACTATATTTATATGCAGCTATTTTAAGTTACTTTGATTTGCTTTCCTAACAAGAAATTATGTCTTTTGAAAACATTTATTCTGTACAACATTAAGAACACTTAATGATGACTACACAAAAACAACAAATCTCCAATTGATGCGCCCTTTTTTAATGAGTCTTTTCTTTTCTTTCTTTTTATTTTTTTTTAGACAAAAGTTTCTATTGACCATGCTGGACTTGAACTCCTGGGTTCAAGTGATCTTCCCACCTCAGTCTTCTGAGTAACTGGGATGCCAGGCATGAACCACAACATCCAGTTCAATGCTCCTTTGGGAAAAAGCCTAAAACTTAAGGTTAAGGCTGCTACCTGGTATTTCAGGAAAAGCTCAGTCATTCACAAGTCTGCATAGGCAACTTTAGAAAAGTTTGTCAACCCGTACAAACCTCAAAATGAACCTAGAGAAGCATTCATTTGTTTTAAAATCATCTTTATGACCTGCAAGACAAAAAAAAATTTTTTTTTTTTTTTTTTAGTAGGAGTCTCACTCTGTCACCCAGGCTGGAGTGCAGTGGTACGCTCATGGCTACCCCAGTGTTGACCTGCTGGGCTCAGGTGATCCTTCTGCCTCAGCCTTCCAAGTAGCTGGAACTACAGGCATACGCTACCATGTCCGGCTAATTTTTTGATTAGAGATGAGGTCTAATTTTTTGTAGAGATGAGGTCTTACCAAGTTGCCCAGGCTGTTATCGAACGAGTGGGCTCAGGCAATCCTCTCATCTCCGCCTCCCAAAGGGCTGGGATTACAAGCTTGAGCCACCATGCTTGGCCCAAAATTAATTTATTTATTTTATTTTTTTGAGTTGGAGTCTCACTCTGTCACCCAGACTGGAGTACAGTGGCATGCTCCTGGCCACCACAGCCTCAACTTGCTGGGCTCCGGCGATCCTTCCGCCTCAGCCTTCCAAGTAGCTGAAACTACAGGCACGTGCTACCACACCCAGCTAATTTTTTTAAAATTTATTGTGGAGATGAGGTCTTGCCAAGTTGCCCAGGCGGGTCTCGAACCCGCGGGCTCAGGCAATCCACTCACCTCAGCCTCCCAAAGCACGGGATTACAGGCTGAGCCACTGAGTCGCGGTTAATTTTTTAAAAAATATATAAATGAGCCGGGCTCAGTGGCTCAGCCTGTAATAATTTTAAAAATTTTATATATATATAAATTTTATATATATAAATTTTATATATATATAATAATTGTAAAAATTTTATATATATATAAAATTTTTTTTCCCCCTCCATAACCTCCAGGAGAGAGTCAAAAATCTCTCAAGGTAACAGAACTCTCAACTAGCTTTCCAATCTTGTTTCACTATCAGGCAAGACTGGTTTCCTTATCTGTTCAAGGGAGGAAAAAACCATGCTCATTTTGGCTCTGTATCCACAGTGCCTACCACAATACCTGGCACACAGTAGTTGCTCAGTAAATGTTGCTGACTCAACAACAGTGTGAATGCTCTTAGGCCTATGCTCTCTGTACTGCACTCTTGGAAAGCCCCTTTTCCCCCCACCTTGTCCAAGCCCCACTCAACTCCTTCCACCTCTTCTCAACACGCACCCAAAAGACTGCCCTCGCCATTCTCTTCTCCCTCCTTAATTACCACCGAATTCAATCACTTCAGATATTTACTTCTTATTTAAGCTTTTCTGTTTATATGTGACTTTGAGAAAAATTTATATAAAACACTTAGAACAGTACCTGGAACATAGTATACACCTGATAAATGCTAGTGACCGCCATTATTTCATCTTTTGGAACACCTCAGTTCTCTCACTTATAAAAGGGGAGTGATAGTACGTCCTTTGTCAGATGGGTCTTCATAGAGATCAGGAATAATGTTGGAACGTCTCTAGGACCTTCCTAGCACACAGTAGCCACTTGACAGCCATGCTGGGTGCAGAAAAGGTACTCAACAGAAGTTCATAAGATAAGCTGAAGGAACAACTGTGAGACATACTCTCACATCAACTCAGATATCAAGGGAAGCTTTTTCACTCATTCATTCAACACATATTTATTAAGCGTTTATCATTATGTGCCAAGATTTGTTCTAGGTCTGGGATACCACTGTAAAAACAGTCTTTGCCCTATGAAACATACATTCTAAAGGAAAAGGCAGACAATAAACAGAGAAAGAAACAAATAAGTAAAAGCTTGATGTCAAGGGCTGTGAAGAAAAAAAGGCAAAGCAAGCTAGCAAGAGCTGGAAAAGGGCTTCCTAAGAGGTGGCATTTAATGAGATCTGAATCCTCAGGAAAGCTTGGTTTTGCAAGACCCATCCTCACCCCCACAGACCCCAGGAGACTTTCCACAGGCCTCCTCTAGGACCAGGAGACCTGGCATGATCAAAGAGGCTGCAGCCTGACTGCTGGTGTCTTTCTCAACTCAGATCAAGCTACAAACTCTGCTGAATCAGCTACAGCAAACTTATTTTTTGTAAGACTGTTTGAATTGGCCGTTTAAGCCCCAAGTGGAAATCAACTAATGACAGCCATACCGCAACTGGTCTGTTCCCCAGAAAGTTCAGATCGCTGTTCTCTCCAAACAGGTAACCTTCAGGATGGGTTGAGTCAAACTTCTCTCCTCCCATAATGAAGTGGCTGGCAAAATAGCTTCCTAGAGAAGGACAAACAGAAAAAAATCAGACAAGCAGAAAACAGTCAAACTGAGCCTAGTAAAAAAAGTCAATTTAATTTAATTTATTATTATTATTTTTTTTGAGTTGGAGTCACACTCTGTCATCCAGACTGGAGTGCAGTGGCACGCTCCCGGCCACCGCAACCTTGACCTGCTGCTGGGCTCTGGTGATCCTTTTGCCTCAACCTTCCAAGTAGCTGGAACTACAGGCGCGTGCTACCATGACCGGCTGATTTATGATTTATTGTAGAGATGAGGTCTCGTCAAGTTGCCCAGGCGGGTCTCGAACCTGTGGGCTCAGGCAATCCATTCACCTCAGCCTCCCAAAGCGCGGGATTACAGGCTGAGCCACCGAGCCCGGCTAAAAAAGTTAATTTTTAAAATGTTAACCCTTCAAACAAATAGACCAATATCTTTCTTTTCTTTCTTTTTTTTTTTTAGGGTCAAAGTCTCACTCTGTTGCCCAGGATGAAGTGCAGTATCACACTCATGGCCACCACAGCCTCGACCTCCTGGGCTCAGGCAATCCTACTGCTTCAGCCTTCCAAGTATCTGAAACTACAGGTGTGCACCACCATGCCCAGCTAATTTTATTTACTGTAGAGGCAAGGTCTTGCCATGTTGCCCAGGTAGGTCTCAAACCCGTCGGCTCAGGCAATCCTCTCACCTCTGCCTCCCAAAGTGTTGGGATTACAGGCATGAGCCACTGTGCTCGAACCAAATACAGCAATTTCTACCCCCAGGAGTGTTTTCCTGATTTCGACAAGAGCACAAAATAAGCAAAATCATAGCAGACAGGATCCCAAATATCAAACATAAAATAGGCAGTTGTTTTTCTTTCAACTTTTTTTTTTTTTAGTTGGAGTTTCATTCTGTTGCCCAGGCTCACTGCAGCCTCAACCTCCTGGGCTCAGGTAATCCTTCCACCTCAGCCTCCTAAGTGGCTAGGATTACAGGTGCATACCACCACACTCAGCTAATTTTTTGTAGAAACAAGGTCTCACTATATTGCCCAGGCTAGTCTCAAACTTTTGACCTCAAGCGATCCTCCTGCCTTGGCCTCCCAAAATGCTGGAATTACAAGCATAAGCTACACACCACACCCAGCCTCTTTTAATAATCTTGACTGAATCCTTACCATAATGTGTCTAAAATACTACCAACCAAAAGAGCAGAGGTCCCACAAACCACATTAATGAACATATATACATTTTTGTGCCTTTTTTTCCCCTGAGTCTCACTCTATTGCCCAGGCTAGAGTGCAGTGGCATGACCGCAGTGCGTCAAATCCTTGACTTCTTGGGTTTAGGCAATCCTCCCACCTCAGCCTCCCGAGTAGCTGAGACTATAAGCATGAATCACACCAGCTAATTTTTATTTTATTTTTCACAGAAACTGGTCTCCAACTCTTGACCTCAAGTGATCCTCCCACCTCAGCCTCCTAAAGTGCTGGGATTATTGGTATGAGCCACCACACCTGGCCATAATTTTTTTCCCTGAAACTTGAAGTAGTTACTCTGTCTATTTGAGAACCACAAGTATCAGAAACAGAGTACACTGTGATATTGTGAAATATGTATTTGGTCTTTGTACCCCTTTCCTGGCATACAACTCTTAAAATCTTTGGAATTTCCAAACTGATATCTTTATTATGCTAATGAGTTGATTAATGGCTGGCAGCCCTGGCTAGCTTTGGTTGAGACCTGGTCGTCAGAAAAACCAAGGCAGGATTAGAGGACTAGGACTTTCAGCCCCACACCCCAACCTTTGGGGAGGGCAGAGGGACTGAAGGTTAGTTGGTGATCAATAGTCAATGATTTAATTGTTTTTTAAAGTCTTCCTTCTCTGAGACAGGGTTTCACTCTGTTGCCCAAGCTGGAGCGCAGTGGCATGATCACAGCTCACTGCAGCCTCAACTTCCTGGGCTCAAGTGATCCTCCAGCCTGATCCTCCCTAATAGATGGGACTACAGGTGGACACCATCATGTCTGGCTAATTTTTTGTAGAGATGGGTCTTGCAATGTTGCCTAGGCTGGTTTCAAACTCCTGGGTTCAAGCGATCCTTCTGCCTAGGTCTCCCAAAGTGCTGGGATTACAGGCGTGAGCCGCCACACCCAGCTATTTATTTTATATTTTTTTGAGTTAGGTTCTCACTCTGTCACCCAGGCTAGAGTGCACTGACATGGTCACAGCTCACTGCAGTCTTGATTTCTTGGACTCAGGTGATCCTCCCACCTCAGCCTCCCAAGCAGCTGGGCTACAGTCATGCACCATCCTACAGCCTCAACCTTCTATAGTGCTGGGATTACATGCATGAGCCACCACACCTGGTCAATGATCTGATCAATCATGTCTACTTAATGAAGCTTCCATAAATACCCCCAAAGTTCTAGGTGTGGAGAGCTTCTAGATAGCTGAACACTTGGAGGTTCCTGGAGGGTGATGCACCCAGAGAGGGCATAGAAGCTCTGTGTCCCTTCCCATATAACCTCACGCTAAGCATCTCTTTATCTGTATCCTTTGTAGTACTCTTTATAATAAACAGCTAAACAAAGCTAAATGCAGTCCCCTAGTTCTGTGCCACTCTAGCAAGTTAACTGAACCGGAAGAAGGGGGGACATAGGAACTCCAATTTATAGTGAGAAGCACTGGCAGGGCAACCTGGGGCTTGCAATGGGCATCAGAAGTAGGGGGCAATCTTGAGGGATTAAGTCCTCAACCTGTGGGATCTGACACTATCTCCAGGTAGATGGTGTAAGAATACTATTGACGGAAGGCTGAGGCAGAAGGATCGCCACAGCCCAGCAGGTCGAGGCTGCGGTGGCCGGGAGCGGCCACTGCACTCCAGTCTGGGCGACAGAGTGAGACTCCAACTCAAAACAAAAAAACAAAAAAACAAAAAAAAATTTAAAAAGAATACTACTGAATTAGAATCCAGCTGGTGTCTGCTGCAGAATTGACTGGTTACTTGTGGGAAGACATCTCCACACATTTTGGTGACCAAAGACCACAGAAGTCTTTTTTGTTGATTATGTTGTGAGAGTACAGGAGAAACTAAGAATTTGTTTTTTCAGCTGGGCTCGGCAGCTCAGCCTGTAATCCCATGCCTTGGGAGGCTGAGGTGAGTGAATTGCCTGAGCCTGCAGGTTCGTGACGCGCCTGGGCAACTTGGCGAGACCTCATCTCTACAAAAATCAAAAAATTAGCCGGGTGTGGTAGTGCGCGCCTGTAGTTCCAGCTACTTGGAAGGCTGAGGCGGAAGGATCGCCAGAGCCCAGCAGGTCGAGGCTGCGGTGGCCGGGAACAGCCACTGCACTCCAGTCTGGGCAATAGAGTGAGACTCCAACTCAAAAAAAAAAAAAAAATTTTGTTTTTTCCTATATTCCACACATTTTTTCGCCTAGATGTTTTAAGCTGGCTTATACTATACACGGAAGTCTCAGTACCCACCCACCTTCTACTTCTATACCTCCATAATCCTCTATGATGAAGGTTCTTCACGTTTTAACTTGCTACAAAACATGATTGTTTCATAGGAAAATATGAATTTAAATAATATAGTCACCCCTGGCTTTGCCTAACAATTGTCATACAAACTATGGTGTTTAATAAGGGGGCAGACTGCCAAGTTCAGTGTCTCACGCCTGTAATTCCAACACTTTGGGAGGCTGAAGTGAGAGGATTGCCTGAGCCCAAGAGTTTGAGACCAGCCAGGGCAACTTGGTGAGACCTCATCTCTACAATAAATCAAAAAATTAGCCAGGCCTGGCAGCACACGCCTATAGTCCAGCTACTTGGAAGGTTGAGGCAGGATTGCCTGAACCCAGCAGGTCAAGGCTGCGGTAGCCATGAGCATGCCACTGCACTCCAGCCTGAGCAACAGAGTGAGACTCCAACTCAAAAATAAATAAATAAATAAGGGGGCAGATTAGTGCTATGAAAGAAGGCTACACACATACTCCCTCAGCCTCAAATTCATGACCAGTGCTCACAGCCAGGGTTGCTGGGACATCAGTCACGGCAGGTCCTCTTTGCCCCATCTTTTTTTTTTGAGTTGGAGTCTCACTCTTCTCACCACCATGCCCAGCTAAATTTTTTATTTATTGTAGAGATAAGATCTCGCCAAGTTTTCCAGGCTGGTCTTGAACTCCTGGACTCAGTCAATCATCTCACCTCTACCTCCCAAAGTGCTGGGATTACAGGCATGAGTCACTGCGCCCAGCCTCTTTGCCCCATCTTAATCAGTTGGGAGGCAGGGATATTTTTAATACAAAGCAATAACCAGATGAAATCAGCCGTCACGGGTTAGAATTTCCATCAGCCTCCTTCAGACAAACCAGGATGTGATGGTGCTGAGAAGTTTCTATAATCTAATTCTCCCATGAAGGTAAACTGTCCAAAGTAAAGGACAATATCATAATATGCTTTTATCAATGTTCCCATATACCCCAATTCTCAAATTAATACAAAGAACTTATAAAATGGTATTATGTGTAATGCAGCGAGGATATATAAAACTCCCTAAGTCAGATGCAATTTTTGTTGAAGATTAACACAAATGAAAAAAATGAGACTCAGCACTTTGAGCCTGTGGGAAAACCATGGAAAGGAAGACAAGAAGAACATTTTAACAAAAATTAAATCAAACATTCATTTAAAAATGCTCTACACATGGAGCTTAAGTCTAGAAATACCTATTTAAACAAAACAATGTGGATAAAATCACTCATCACAAAGTGAGGCAATTCTTGAATTAAATAACAAGCAGGAAAACATTATTTGAGAGTAATAGCAGCCATAATCAATGCAATCACTGGGGAATTCCTGAATGTTACCCATCATAACTTAAAAACACAAACAACCATTTTCAGTGACACAACAGTGCAATTCACCATTTAGGAAAGCTTAATCAATTATTTATACCTAGCATTTGCTAGCCCTATTTTCCAAGTGCATAATTTATAGAAAGGGGAGGTGCC